GCCTTCTGTGGATTGTGCAGGTCCTGGGGGAAGATGGCTGTGCTGAGTGAGCACGTCTGGTAAGGTGTCTGGTGAGGTGTCTGGTGAGGTGTCTGAGGAGCTTAGAGGAGGGCCATAAAGAGAAAGACGGGAGAAAGATCCTGAGGAGGTGTCAGATACTACTTCTCACAAACTTCAGAGGAAGGATATTTTTTTTTTTTCAGAGAAACAAGGAAAGAAGAAGAAAGAAAATCTGTGAAATTGTGGTCAAATGAGCTACCTCATCATATTTGTAGCAGACAGATGCAGTTGGGGAGTTCCAAATTCCCATGAATGGTTAATTATGTCAAAGTGGATCACTGTAAAATAAATAAATTCTACTTATATTACATATGGGTACTTTTAAAATAATATGAATAATTATTAAATTTTAAAATTCTAATTATTTCAAAGTTGGGAATAATGTAATGAAGAAAGATCACACAAGTGACAAGCAAAGTATATAGATATAGATATAGATATAATAAGTATATGTGCATACATATACATATATAGACACTGATTTTAAAATAGGAAAAAAAGCATATATCCTTCTGATGCATTTTCTATTTTTAAAGATCAAAGCAGTTTGTTGCAGTATATTTGTGAGGTAGCTAAAATGTACTTAATTAAAAGCTGAGCTTTAAAACAAAATACAATTCCTTTACTGATTAAATATGCTATGTATGCTTTTGGCAAAATCATAAAAATGCTCGAACACATCGCACATAAACACATACAAGTGTTTTAAGGACATGCTTTAATATATTCAAAAATCTCTGGTTTAAAATGCTATTTGAATGAAAATGAGATGCATCCGATGTTTCATTTCACTGTAATATTGCAATGAAACACTTCCAATAACCACCATGTCAAAAATTAAATGTAAGTAAAAAATTTTAAGGACATCTGGTAATACAAAACATTGCACTCCAGGTTCAGTGAAGCAGAATGATAATGGCAAGCAACCGCTCAGATCTTTTAGTAAGAAGGTTTCCGGGAATGTCTACAAACATTTCTTAAATGCAGTTTAAAATTTCATTATCATGAACATCAAACTGGCATCTGAGTAATGAATAAACCTTCTTTGTCATACTGATGGTCACGAGCATGGGGCAAAAGAATCAATATTGCTGGTCTCTCCCCTCAGCCTTCTCTGGGCTCCCTGTCTCCTCAAGAGAATTGGCCTCAGCAAAAGAGGACCTTTCACACACCTCCTCACCTCCCTGGTCGCAAAAACTTACTGACACAGAGATTGTATCTGTCCGGGGCCTCGGCCTGGACCAGAGCACCAGAGCACACCATGCAAGCAAGTTGGAACTAAGTTCCACCTGAGAGTGTGATCTTGTCCAGCTTCCTCTTCTGCCCCAGCCGTGTCCCTCAATTTCTCCTTTCTCAGAATATTCCCTCAGTAAACCATGGGCATGTAAATCCTTGTTGCAGGTTCTGCTTTTAAGAAACTAACCTATCTTTTGTCATCACAGAAATGTAGTATTAGCAATGGTTTTAGTATTAAAGACTTTATTAAAGGCTGTTTGTGTGAGGTCTTCAAGGGCATGGCATTATTTATAAAAACAAGAGGGGATCTCAGGGACAGAATAGCAGAACAGGGTCCTGTACCGCATGGTAGATTAGCACGCTCTCTTCTGTTGATACATTCATTCAACAAACACTATTCATTCCGTCAGTGAGGCCAATCTTCTGCTGGGTTACAGTAAAACCAAGATAAATCTGACAAGAAATTCATAGGATACTCGGGGGCACAACACATGATTATCTCATTGTAGATCAACAGGCTGAGTATTACAAATTTTTTAAACTGATCATTTGAGGCACATGGAACATAAAAGATAAGGGAGGGAGGCAATCAGATGACTTAATATTGATGCCAGAGATCTCTTGTCCACACAGAAAACTTCTGTGGACTTCAAATTACTGTATTTCTACTGGCTTTCTTTTGATCATCTAGGGAAATTACTCAACTTTTGTGCAGTTATAAACATTTTCCTACAATCAAACTTTAAGTAAGACAAAAGTTTCCTCTCATTTTAGTTGATTTTTAAAGCACTTCTACAACACTTTAAAGTTTAGCTCGAAGATGCTCATTACAGCATTGTTTATGATTCTGAAATGTTGGAAATGATACAAACTCCGGTTAGATATACTGTGATACATATTCCATAAAGTATTGTGTTTTTGAAAGGGTTTTTTTTTTATTTTTATTGATGTTCCATTGGTTTATAATACGATGTAACTTGGCCATCTACACATCTTCTTTGGAGAAGTATCTTTCCAGATAATCAGTGTTTTAAAATAAGGGAGAACATAGTCCTCTTTACTGAAAAGCTAAATATAAATCTACCTTGAGAAAAACGAAGGTCCAGGTCTAGGGCGTGGGGAAAGAAGCTTCATCTTAAGCACAAATTTAAGGAACACCAAAAATAACCTAAGTAGTCAAGAACTTTATTCAAATAATACAGAGCTAAGAGGAAGTGAACACCCAAATCCTTTTTTTTGTATATTCTATATAAATGAAATATTTTTAAAATCAAGAAAAACTATGAAAAACAAAATACTCAAGTGTGAGATCCATGTTATCCTGGGTCAAAGTTGGGTCATAGCAGAGCCTGAGCAAAAGGCTTCACCCCTACACAGATTTTAAAATATATTTTTAATAATCACATTTTCTAGAACTTGATTGTGAAAATAGCATTGATGATTTTGCTTCCATTAAAGCCAAGAAGATAAAATTGCAATAAATTTTGCAATTGCTGTGGATAAACACATTTAAATTTAAAATTTTGTTAAATTCTAACAGCCTTACTTCTCTATTTTTCAATCCTTTTCAACTGTCCTGGTGATGGGGAAGTGGCAGCACATTGTAGATCGTCAATGTACATTTCTTAAGTGAACGAATCTTTTTTGAATGCTATAAGTTATTTGAACTTTAAAAAGGCAAAGTGATTTCATTTTCTATTTGTGGGATTTGAGAACCTCACAGTTTTATTCTGAGTCTCTCTTCTCCCCCTAGTGGACACACACAGATGAGACCAACCAGTATAAAGTGTTTATGCTCATGTGTTTACAATAAGAAAACTGTATAATAAGAAAACTCCTGAGTCCTTGGGAAGGTCACAGCTTTCTCCTCTTACCTTAGAACTACAACGTTGCTTCTAAGGTGACTGTATTTTGACCCAACATGTAACACTATTGTAGAGACAGATATAGCCATGTACAAGTTTTCAGTCCAAAAGAACTTTATTCAAGCAGTATAGAATTTACAGATCCTGATAGCTAAGAGAAAATGAAGACCTAATTCCTACGCTTTCCATATTCCACATTGCTGCAATTCAATGCAAAATGTTGATAAATTGTTGGTTGCAGAATTAATTAGCAATGGCTTCAAATAATGCTTCATAGAACCGCAGTCGAAGCTCTATGCCTTAAACAATGAAATTGCTGTACCTGCAAACAAAGCAGGATGGTGATAACTTTTTGTAAGCAGTGGGAATTCTAGCCACAAAAATTCTGAGCAGGAAGGGCGATGTTAGTTCCCTATAAGACTTAGAAAATCAAAATACTTTTGAAGAGTGTTAACACCAAGAGCTTTCACCCTCCATAGAAGGTGGAGTCTATTCCCTCAACTGCTCCTATTACCAACAGAAATCATTTTATCATTTTGAGCATGTGTGCTTTATTTCTCCCCTGGGTGCTCTCTACAATTCTACAGGCCATTTATTTAAAAGCAGAAGGCATCCTTGTCGAAGGTTCAGCTGGCCAGATAGCTGGCGGTCATTTACTGAGGGCTGTTCTTGGTGGCCAGCTCCTAGAAGGTGCTGGAGTGCCCCAATGGGCTCTCAATGGATTTAGAAGCAAAAAACAAAAAGGTAACCAGGTGTTTTTGGTCATGCCATTATTTCTGTCCCCAGAACTCTGGAATTCAAAGAGTCGCAGAACAGGGAAGGTGAAGTGCAGGCTGGAGCAGAAACCCTGTCAGTGCAAGAAAGCATCATGGGAAGCCTTCAGAAGACCCATCGATGCTGGAAGCCCAGGGGCCTCCAGGGACTCTGCACCTCCTTGTGAGCCACAAATACCATTTCTGAGCAGACTCCTGCAGGCACTGCTCTTCTTCAAAGGTTGCTCCATCAAGTATTTGAAAGCAAGAAAGGATTTTAACTCTGTGTGAGAGAGAAAAGAACATTTCCACAGAATCAGAGTCAGGATTGGTACCAATGCAAGTCTGATGTCTATCTATGTCACGAGCCTTATGTAAAAAGAGGGAGACCAACTTGGCAACAAAAACTAGAAGAATAAAAACACTAAAATGTTAGCCTGGATTAGCTCTAGTGTGGCAGATGCTGAGGGTAAACTGAGAGCACCCTTAACCTCTTCATCACTGATAGCTCCCATTCCAGAAGCAAGAAAGGCAAATATACCCAAAGTTGTGAAATTTTGTATGCAATATATGTTATATAGTGGAGTTCTATAATATACCATCATATGTATATTTATACTTATAATTTTATAATACATCCCATTTCTCAATGAGAGAAACAGGCAGAGTTACAACTGGCTCAGAAGAGGATGCAAAGACCAAATATACATTGCATGACCACACATAGACATATGATATGATATACTGTATGCATGGTGTATATATTACATAATGTATACGAGGGATACAATGCATCATGCGTTGTACCTATACAAGAGATGGAATACATATGTGCCTGTTCTTTGTATTCTCTTTTGATACATACACATTATATAACAAGTAGGTACAGGATACACATTGTATAATATATGGTGGATGCAACCCAGACATCACATTGTATCTGCACATAATATAGAATACACACATATATGTCTGTTCTTTGCATTCTCTTGACCATTACATGTACCCAGTGATTAATGAGTAGAAAAAAACTCTTAACATGGCTCATTTTATATCAATAGGAGTTACAGTTTTATGTTTTTAGGTCTCACAGCTACCAAGAGATGGAGCTGGAGTTTAAACCAAGGAAGCATGTTCTGAGTCTTCACTCCTAAACCCCACACCTTGTCAAATGAGCTAGTACAGTGAATACACACAGTGAATACACACAGTGAATACACAGTGGATATGCAACACACGGTGGTGCTTGGTATTGCTATGTCACAGGCTTTCCACCTGGCCAGGACCTGCATAAAGCTCACCGTTTTGGAAGTAGAGGGGGCGGACGACAGTAAGATCCCCGAGGTCTGGGACTGGGAGCTGCGTTTGGTCACCCCGGTAAACCATCTCTTGTATTCTTCCCGTACCTGGAGGTGAAGACATACCATGTGGAGAGGAATCACTCCTGGGTGCAAGGAACTGGGCCCCACATAGGCATCACCCCCTGGAAAGATGGGGAGTCGGGCTGGGGAGGAGAGCGGCTACACACCTGGCGGCTGAGTAGACAGTGAATGAGGAAGATGAAGGTCCCCTGCAGGCTGTTGATGATGGTGAACAGATATGCCATGGCACTGGCGAGTGGTCCAATCTGGAAAATCCCCAGCACCCAGGAGCACCCCAGAATGAAAAGCTGGGCAAAGGCTTTGACCGTCAGTAACCTGGGAGAGAAGGTTTGCAGAGGCTAAGATTCTGGGAGGGGCTGTTGCCGCCATGGGCTGTGCTCTCAGAAGCAATGAGGCTGACCCTGGGGTGGGAATCCACATGGGGTGGGGTTTCCAGGTGTAGGTGCGGGGACGCTGGACCTAGAGGCCCCGAAAGAACTGACCTACAGACACATGGCACAAAGGCATGAGATTATAATAGTGTTTTTGAGAATGAGATGAGAGGGACAACGCACAGTGGGGCCGCAGACACGGGGTCTGGGTCAGACTTCCCGCTGGCCCATCCACTGGCCTGTGCCCTCAGAACTCACTGAACCGCACAGGCCCCAGCTTCCTCGCCATGATGTAGGGTAACCATTGAGATCTGCAATGTAAGTCTGTCCTTACTATCTAATCTGAATAAGGAGACGGCCAGACTAATACGGTGCTTAGAACAGCGGCACAAAATAAGCATTTCTGTGAATTGCTTCTCATCTTCAGTAAGATGATGAAATATGCTACACGATGCAGAAAGAAGTGCAGGATGATATGATAGTGTCCTATCATTTACATAAAGAAGGTGGATGTAGGTGTGAAATCTTCCAGAAGGAAGTTCCATTTGAGTGGTAATGGCTGCTTAAAGTCGGGGAGATCAGGGTGTCTGGAAGGGTTTAGAAGAGAGAGGCCATCACTTGTCATGTATTCCTTTTGCATTGCCTAATATTTTTTATCATTGCATGTGCTGACATAACTTTAACTTTTTGCATTAACTTTCAGAATAATTTTTTAAAAAATGATTTTTTGATTGGGTAATTAGCTACAACTGTGAAAACAAGCAAAATATTATCAAGTCACTAACAATAAAACTCAGACAATGTCTGGTGTCAATAGGTTCCGAAGTGATGAATGATGAAATCAAGACACAAAATGGTCTACAAGAATATGAAAAGTCCCATGCCTGTAAGATGAAATAATATATATGAAACTAAAATAAATCATATATTTCACCTATTAAATCAGCAAAACAATGCAATGGAATGACAAATTGCAGTGGTTGGCAAAGCACTCTTAGAAACAACTTTCGGAAACCCCAACTTGTAACCTATATTAAAAGTGTTACAATCCTACCTAAGGGATTTACAATCCCACCTGACCAAGGGAATTTCATTCCAGTGTGATTAAGTAATTAAAGATGCACAAGGTTTACCTACAAAAGTATTCAAAACAATATTGTTTATAATAGTATAAATAGTATAAACTAGAAACAGCTTCATGTCTATAAATAAGGAAAAATTGAAATAAGCAGCATTGTGTTCCTACAAAGAAATGCTATAAAAAGGCATTGTTGATGAATTTCTAATTAACAGGAAATTATTCATGTAATTAAGAGAAAAAAGAATTATAGAGATAAAATTGAAAAGATGAGCTGGTTGCTATGCACCAGAGAAGACTTAGAAAAGTATTAACAGCTGCAACATGAAGCACTCCCTCCCCCTAGAAAATGTGCTAAGTGCTTCATAAGCCACATCAAATAGCCCTAGACCACAGAGAGAAAACTGTGCCTCAGAGTAATTTGTCCACAGAGAGAAAACTGTGCCTCAGAGTAATTTGTCCACAGAGAGAAAACTGTGTCTCAGAGAATTTGCCTTTACCACATAGCTTGCAAGTGGCAGAGCTGGGTTTGAGCTTCCATGTAGACACCGCACTGCCAGCTCTTGGATCCAGGCTGAGGCACATGAAAGGTCCCACATGGACAACGCAGGAAGAAGGAAAAGGAGAGGAAAGGAAGAGGGGACCACACCTGGTGTCTTTGAGCGTGGAGACTTCGGCATTGACGCTGGATAGTTTCTGCCTCAGGATCCACAAGGTCCACGTTAAGAGGAAGGAATTGACCTATGAAGTCAGGCAAAAGGGATGGAGAGATCGGACACAGACCAGACCAGACCATCCATAAAAACAGCTCCCCCTCTCTCCAAAAAGCCACCAGTAACCCCTGCAGCAACCAGCCTGCACGGACCAGGTTTCAACTGATAACTGACTGTCTCCCTGATTTCTGGATCCCATTTGCAACTTAGCACCAAAAGATGTGCCCAGCACCCAGCACAGATTTTCTCACCCACATACAGACTTCCCGGGCCAACAACATCCAAGCTATGCACATCTAAACGTTCCCTGTCTTTCTTTATAAATCTTTCCCACTCTGTCTGGTTTTGCTTGTCTTCCGTGCCTTGTTTTTAATTGAGGTGACCCTGGTTTTCAGCACTGTGTATGAGGTGGAGGTTCAGGGTCACATCCTTCAGATGTGTTACCCCACCACACTCTCCACCACGGTCCATTGGGCCCCTCCCCACCCTGATCTCCCCGTCTTGTAACCTCAGTGCAACAGTCAGGTTTCTAGGGTCTGTTACTAGCTTGGTTTTATCTGACCCTTTGTTTGGTTTTTCTCAGTATATGTGATGCCATCCAGTGTCTTTCTGCTTATTTCCCTGAGTGCCATCCCCTCTGGGCCATCCCTGTTGCCACAAATGCACCACCTGATTTTGAGTCTCTGACAGAGGCAGGTGAAAGGAGTCTGACTCCCTAACTCCAGCAATCTCCAAATACATAGGCTTTGCTTACTTTCTTTTAGGTGATCTTCATTAATTTCCACTGGATGCCTCCAGAAAGTTCTAACCAAGACCATGACTTAGGACACACACTGTGACCTTTAGTGGCAGGTTTATTCATTTGGGGGTGCGGGGGAGGGAGCAGTTATTCATTTCTAAAGCAAAGCTCTCTTCGGGCAGAGTTTCTCAGCTTGGTACATGGAACCGAGGCATTCCCAATGGGTGGGTAGTGGGGGAGGGCTGTCTTGTGCATTGTATGGTGTTTGCCAGTTTCCCTGGCTTCTCCCCTGTTAGATGCTAGTATCCCTCTCCCCACTTGTAATAACCAAAAATACATCTTTCTTGGAAAAATTGTCCCAGTTCAGAACCACTGCTCTAGGGGTATGAAATTCAACATTTCTTTTCCAGAAGGACGACGTGTTCTTGAATATTCGAGAATGGACAGGAAAAGCATTGCATTATTTTCCCATTATTCACACCTAATATCTATTGAGCACTGGCCAATGCCAGGCAGCATGCCGAACATCTAACACTCACAATTGAATCCCAACCACCTCGTGAGTGGAGTCTAGAGGGCAAACTTGGCATGTGGGAGAGCACTAAACTATGATGCTGGTGACATCTGTTGTGCAGCATACACATCCATCAAAACAGCAACTCCTACGTCTTGAATACATACAATTGCAATTTGTCAGTTATACTTCAGCAGTTACAAGTTCTCTCCTAGCTTCCCTTTTCCCCATTCTTTCCTCTCCTTCTCTTGTTAAGGGGAAGGATGTCCTAAAGGAACTCTGCAGAGTCTTATGGACGCCACCCCCTACTCCAGCTTTCTAGACCCTACACCCTGCTCCCGTGATTGGAAACTACAACTCCCAGCAGCACCAGGGAGAGAACTGCAAGGACCCCTGGGCAGAGCTAGCAGGAAGGAATTCTGGGACATCTTGGGGAGATAAATAGGGTGCGATTGTATCTCGCGCTCTCTCTCTTGGGAAGAAGCTCTCCTAACTGCGTGACTCTGTGTGGTCAGCCTAGCCGTAAGGTATTCCAATTACTTTGTATCCCGCTCTCTTTCCTTGGGTTGTTTCCTATTCCTTTCCACTTTTGTAAATAAACCCGTTATTGACCCTTTTGTGTGTACCTGCAGTATAACCGAATTGTGAGCACACGGGTGAGGCCCTACAGACAGGCGGCCCAGTTCACTCTGGGCTACCCTGTGACACTCTCACCTTGCTTCTTCCTCTTCCCCCATCAAATGTGCTTACTTTCTTCTACCCTGTTCTTTCATCTAGCATCTACACTCAGAAGAGACTGATATACCCATCCATACTGAAATGCAATGAGGGTTAAGTTGTGATGCCTCCAGGGGGGGTTTGCAAGTTGGCTTGACAAAACTACAAGTCCACGAAGGTGGACATCCTCACCTGGAAATCTCAAGAATCGAGGATCAGAGGAAAGAAAAGGAAGAAGTGACCTCAGCTTTACTTCTTCACTGGCACTTCCTGATCCCTTATGACACATTGCTGATCCCTCTAGAACACCAAGCAGTTTGCTTACCACGATGATTGTGCAAACTGGCCCCAGGAAACTCCAGGTGAACCCCATTTCTGTTTTCAGCCAGCAGCTATGAAAAGAAACGGGGAAGTCTGTATTTATCTCAGAGTCTTGACCCTACAGTGAACTCAGGTCTCAGTCACCCCAACAAATGTACCAATAGGAAGGTGAGTGATTGGAACAAGTGTTCTCTTGAGAAGTCAGGTGGCTCTGTCGTTTTCTTGGCTCACACAACCCTCTTTCAGAGTTTCTTCCTAGGTAAGTGTCCCTGGATAGCTCATTCTCCATGCAACCTTTGCCCTCCGCTCCCTTCGGAGCTTGGCCCACACACTCTCAGTTCGATCTGTGCACCAGGGTCTGTGCTTGGCTACTCCTAACACCTCTAGCAGAGCTTGCTGGTTCCTATGTCATCCAGCAGTCATTAGTCTTGTTCGGATGTTTATTTACTTGTAAATTGTCCATCCTCCCCTAAACTATGAGGGGCTTAAGTGGTTTGTTCATCTGTGAATACCCAGTACTCGGCGCCAAGTCTGGCATGGATGAGGCATTCCATAGTGACATGCTGGAAGGAAGGAAGAATGTATGGTGGATGGGAAGAAAATTGGGAGGAAGCAGGAAGAAGGAGCATGAAAGATGGGGCTTCCCCTTAACAGAACAGGGTCCCTGGTACCTCTTGGTCAGGTGGTACATTCTCAGCTCAGACACTGACTAGATATGTGACTGTGAGCCGTAGCTTCCTCTCTCGTTACCAGTTACTGAGCTGTTGTTTCATGTACTGTTGGGCTTAGGCCCAGAAGCGCAGGTTGTGCATGGAACAAAATAGAGGGGATGCTATGTAGAAAGTCCACAATGAGACTCTTCACCTGCACACAGGAATTTTGTTGAGAAATACTAAAGGTAATGTGTTTGTAAAGTGCCCAGGATTTCGGTTATGACGGGTAATCATTTCATGTGTATTGTTTTCCCTCACCCCTTATTTCATGACCTTGCCTGAAATCGAAGCCATCAGCTAGGAGAGAGGAAGCCTGGGTATTTAAGCCCCCAAACACAATTTAGCAAAATGCCGATAGCACTGGGGTGACAAGAGGGGGCCCTGGCACTGGAAAGACCCAGATGCAGGTTCTATGTGATAGGGAGAATCTCATCGCTTGAGCCTCAATTTGCTCATCTGTGAGTTAGCACAGCAACAGCTTCTCAAGGGTTTGTGATAAGATTAATGAAATAACACAGTGAGCTTATCTCTGCTCTATCCACCTACCACTTATTCTCAGTTCACTTCATTGTTCTCTCAAAATTAACTCACTGTTTGTACTTCTGTAATGGAATTGTGTCCCTGACAGCATGAGTTTGGTATGCTAGCAATGAGGTTTTCCTAACACCCTATAAAATAAATACAAAAATATTTTTGAAATGAGTCCCCGCCATTGTAATATTACCTTTCATGAAATCATGTGATAAATATTCGTCACTTTAAAACAGACAATGCTTATAATGATGGTGATGATTATAATGAGGATGATGATGGTATATAACATTCCTCTGTGCCGGGTACTATTAAATCTTTTGCAGATAATAACTCACTTAAACTTCACAAAAACCTGGTCAGCATCGTCATTAGCTCATTGTATGGATGATCAGATGTAAGCACTTGAAGGTTAAGTAACTTATTTATGATAGCAGTTAGAAATTAGTGGAGCTAGGATTCAAGCCCTGGCAAGATGGTATCAGAGTCCATGATTTTTAAACCACACAATCAAATCCACTGTTGGCATCACGGCTGTCCTATACTGGTGTGAACAACGCCTCTGAGGTTTGCACAGTGCACACCTGAACAATACCTCTGAGGTTTGCACAGTGCGCACCTGAACAACGCCTCTGAGGTTTGCACTGTGCGCACCTAAACAACACCTCTGAGGTTTGCACAATGCACACCTGAACAATAT